TAATTACCATTAATTATCTTTAATTATCTTTAATTATCTTTAATTACATTAATTACCATAATTAACTTATTTAAATGATTTAGAATCATCCTTCAACATGATATTATATCACCTACTCTCCATCATTTACGTAATCCAGGAACTCCGCATGAAATCTTGAATAAACTTATCGATACATTAGTTAATATCCTCTCAGTTGGTGATTTGTCAGGTCCAAATTCATCACAGATATTGGCTAATGAATACGCTGACAAATTAGCTTCTGCAGGAATAGTAGAAGCATTGATTATGACTTGGAATAATCCTTCAGTAAACGAAATTGTAAAAGAGAAAGTACGTGGATTATTAGAACGGTGGTTTTGTGGATATTTACCACGAAATGATCAAAGTAGTGGTGAAATTGAAGAAGATATTGCGTCAATTGAAGAACGTGTTTCAAGATTGACCATCATGGGTGGTGTTTTTTAGAAAATATTTGATCGCTAGTCATGCTAATTTAACAAATTTGATTTATCTTTGTTATACTCGATCTTGATTAGCTATTAAAAATATGTAAACAACTAGTACATTATCATATAGACGGATTTCTATAGAAAACTTTCTCGTGATTGGTTAATTTTATACAATTGGACTTATACATTTTAGAGTACTTTATACAACGCAATGCAGTAAATTAAAAAGCTATCATAATAGGTTGATCTTTGGATATATTAGATATATATTTAATCAACTTTTAGATATTCACCGATATTTGGAATTACTATTAAAAATGTAAATAGTTTTTAACAGTAAATATCTTTTGATTCGTTTTGATTCGTTTCGTTTTCGGTTAATCATTACCAAAATAATTATCGTTATAAAATTGATTTCAACAAATACGTAGTACGTACGTACGTATGATTTTTTAATGATTTTAATTTGTTGAACTATTTTATATAGTTATTTTGATTTATGTATTTATTAACAATTATTTATATCTTTTAATTGATTTACTAAATTATACCAAAACTAGCTAACTAATCAATGCTAGTTCTAAGTAAAAATAGAACTTTATATTAATGTCGCTGGTATAATTTAGTGTAATTGTATATACGGTATAACGATAATAAAAGTTTATTATTAATTTTAGCCGGTGATTTCACCTAGGTGATATTATTCATAATTTATTAAATTATTTAATCGCTAATTTATTTATTTTTAAAAATCCTAAAAATTCAATAGTATTCATTTTTTCTTTTACATCTATCTATATAGTTACATTTTATTTTATATCATACATCTAACTCTATTTTATTCAACATTTAAATAAGTTAATTATGGTAATTAATGTAATTAAAGATAATTAAAGATAATTAAAGATAATTAATGGTAATTA